TACATTTTTGGTGGGGTCGATAAATACTTCTCCTTTAAAAATCCCGAGGGCCAGAAGCTCGGGCGAGGCTGACAGAAGAAGAAAGAGTTTCATTCTTCTTCCTTTTTGCAGGTGAAACGAGCATTCATTAATTAGGTAATGTTTGTACACTCGTTTTCACACATAGAACATATATCATCAGGCCCAGATTGCAGCCAAACCATTGTACGCTGGGTACTACGCCCTCTTTGAGCCATGCATTGTGCGGCCATCTTGGTACTACATCGGACGTGGGCAAATATATGCCGCCGTACCCCATGCAAGAGGCTCTTTGTCTCCTCGATCAACCCGACCAATGAAGACCTGTGAACTCAGCTATCCGTCAAAGCTTCAACTCCTTTACAATCTAGTTCAACAATGATGGGCTTCTCCGTACGTTGTAGAGCCATGGACGCACCCTCGAGATATGCTGCTATTTCCGCCTCCATTGATGTGCGGCATGATCGAAGAAACCGACATGACGAGAAGATGATGGCTCGTGTGTCATCCCTCAAGACCATGCCCGCCCCTCCAATACACTCGCCAGGGATTTTTTGGAAAAAAGGATGATGACCCCCGGTCTATGCATCTAGGCGATGCATGCAATCATTTTTTTAATTATTCACAAAGACCTTAAGAAGTAATACATTAGTAAGTCTGAAGCCATCATCTTGGCAATATCTGTCGCTACTCCTATCCTGTTGATGAAGGAGGGTGAATGTCCGAGCCGAATATCAAACAGACCTCGCACCAAATCCAAACATCTAAAGCCGGAGGCCCCTGCCAAGCCGGATCTGGGGCCCACACTAGTCTGGCGCACTCTTAGAGGCTGCCGCCGCCGTCTTTTGTTGATCCATCTTCAGAGCAAGTACCGACGCATCGACCTTGTCAGGCCTGCCGTCGACGCCACCATGGCGTCCGATAACGCCACCTTCCTACTCGTGTCCATCATCACACATCTGTCGCCGAGACCCTACTGCACCACGCTGTTGAGACTCCACATCATCGATGCGTGACATGAAACGCCGCTCCACCGCTAAAACTGCCCGCTGGTCCCTCGAGCCAATGCGCACCTCCAAGAATGACGCTCCCAATGGGGGAACGACACCTGAGTACCACCATCATCTGATCGACTGATCAAGGATTTCCTCGGAGGTAGCGGAAGAAGGCGGGAACTTCACCACGATGATGACTCCAAGAAGGAAACTGCCAAGGGTGTCACCATCACCAGCTCCGACCACCGGCCATAGACATGGTTTTAACCCGGATCTTATCTCACAAGAATCCATCCAACATCTTGTGCATCGGACAAACCACCTTCAAAGCCCCAGATCTGCCTTCCCAGATCCGGCGACCACCTATAGCAGCACTCGCCAGGGATATGTGAACCATCAACGTTCAGTTTCATCCAGCCAGATGGTGGTTATACCCATGGAGATTCAGGAATACTTTGGACTGAGCCTATGATCCCTCACCACTTGTGGTGCATTCTTAACCACCATCTTCCCTTTCACCATGTCACCTTGCAGTTGCTGCTTGATGCATAACAGGGACTCGATGTAACAGTTCAGAAATCTCCTCGAACTCTTGATTGGGGCACCGGTTTGTGATGTATAACTTCGTTTCGGCAGTGCCAAGCTCGCCAAAAGGTCATCAGAATGACTAACCGCTGCAATTCGGTATTGTTATTCAGGAGATGTAGATGCCATTCTTTGCCGGTGTTGGACACCATCCATAGGTCCGATAGGAGCCATGACTCCTTCATGGCATCCCAAAGAGCGCACGCCATAAGGCACTTGCACACGGCGTTGAAGGTACCCTCACGCTCGATGCCACACATGACACACACATTAGAATGTTCCAGAGTTCTCTTATGCTTATTTTCCATAGTTGCAAAAGAGTTAGTCGCTATCCGTCAACCATAGACCCGTACCTTAGGTGGAGCAGGCACCTCCACATTGTCGACCAAACGGTGCGATTGTCATCCGATGCCTTCACTACTGCAGGATGCTGCTAACACGACACTACGATTAGAGACCCTTCGGCGATACTGTGTGTGATGCAATAATCGCAAACGGTGGTGTAAAAAACCCGTCAAAAAGGTACAAAATGTTTGCGATGACGGATGCATCAAACACGGTTCAAATTTTGGTTGTGTGTGCGATGCGGGGCATACGGTTCAGTTCAATTAACTGTTTGCGATGAGGAGGAACAAAAGAAATGGGCTGCCAGATGAAGGCGTGTGCGATATACAACATATGGTTCACTCGGATGAACTATTTGTGATGAGGCAGAACAACAAGAACAGGCACCCAGATGAAGGTGTGTGCGATATACGGCATATAGTTCACTCGGATGAACTGTTTACATTGAGCCAAGAGAAAAGAAAAGGTTCAACTTAACAAGATGTGTGTGATACGCGGCAAACAAGTCTGTAATCGGAAATTTGTAGGAAGACCGATAACAACATAGACGATTCCTGTTAACAAGCTGTGTGTGTTGTGAGCAAACGATTGCTGGTATACAATTGTCAGTGATTGATGAAATCATCACCGACGGGTTCCATTGTTTAGTCTGTGTGCGATGTGATTTGCTTTGTCTATAGAGCATCAACATATATACTTAAAAAGACAGCATTGACCAAATTAAGCATACAATTATACAAGTGACTACACAGATAACATTTCCACACACAAAAGTAAGCAATGCATACTAAACTAGGAGAAACGAAGATCTAATCATCTACTTCTTGTTGCGACGACGCTTGCCATTGCTCTGCTTCTGGCTGGACCCCTGGCCATTTTGGCCGCGTCAAGGAGGCACTTCCTCATGTCAAAGATCCGTTTGTACATGTTGTAGCTCATGTACACCTCCTTGGCCACGTACACGACGTGAGCTTTGTTGAGTTTCTCCATCTAGGCCGAGTGCCATGCACGCTTGTCCTTGTTGCAGGAATCCTTCATGTCTCTGTAGTAGGGGTCGATGATGGCCTCGGCGAGGTGAACCAGTGAGTCTTTCTCGTGCTCCTTGCTGCCCCAGATCTTGTATTGGCCCTGGATGTCGACAAGATTCTGGCAGGTGATGCCCGAATTCTTGAGCACCTTTACATCGTTGGTGATGTCCACCATAGCGAACACGTAGTGGGGGCTGTTGACAAACCTGGCGAAATGCTCGCAAGGCCTTGTGACCAGGCAGGAGTGGTAGACAAGGACGTGGTTGCGCATGCACATATGGGCGACGACGACCTCGGGATGAGACCCGGCATGAGCGCGGGTGTACTCGAGGTCAAACCCGACCACCTTGTACTTCTCCTCGGCAAGCAACAACTCCATGATGTGGATGGAGTGCTCCACCCAGACCGGGTTGTTGGTGTACACCATCGAGAGCTCCATGAACCTTCCATGGGTGTCCACCATGGCATGCATAGTGAACTGCTGCTCATCATCGGCAGCCGCTCGGAGCGCCATTGGAGCCACGCAGAATACCCTCTAAGAATTTGTCGTGGTGGGTGTGCTTCTTGCAATGGTGGGGCGTGATACGTCT